GGGGGGCGGGTAGGGCAGAGAGGAAGGCAAGGAATCACCTGCCTCACTCACTCATTCTAGAAGCCTCTCCCACTAGCTAGAAAAGATGAGCTTTATCTAGGTCTAATAGGCAGCTGCTGCTACTAGACCCACTCCAGTCAAAAACTTGAGTATATTGCCTTTGTGTTCAGAGAATAATGGTTCTCTGAAGTCAGTAGGTGGCTTTGTGGGTCTATGTGATAAAACTCTGGAAATACTGCATCTACCAACATGCATTACAAAACCAGACTGGAAGCCGAACAGAGTAGGGACTTTGACTTTATCCAGCTCATTGTTAGCACTATATATTTTCCTGTAACGTTAACACATTAACACGTCTGTATCATTTTGTCATGAGAAATTACAAAACCGGTTATCAACTTGGATTTATAAACCCGTCAGTTCACACATTACTTTGCAGCCACTTGCTAAAAGATGACTAATTAAGGAAAAGTCCATTTTGGACTTAAACTCACTCAGGATCTGTACCTCCACAGGAAAATTGTTGAGGATACAGAAATCAAGAGGTAAGAAACAGCTTACAAATAAGGAAATCCTGTACACTGTTAACAGGTAATCATATATTGCATTGAATCCCTGTCTGATTCGTGTTCTCACCCAGCTGACCAATTTCCCATGAGACATTAAGTTTGGACAAGAGCCACCTTCTTCCTTCAAAGTCAGCAGAATTTTGCCAACAGCAGCAAGAACAAGACAAAGCTTGGCAATTTCAAGCCCACAAAAGATGGGTGGCTGAGCAGAGGAGAGCTCTCAGCAGCAAGAGTCATCTTCAAACTGATCATCACTGGTCAGTGTTTGAATTGTGCTGGCTCATTTCCTTGTGAAGTACATGCCACAGAGCATACACCTTCACAATGATGAGAGAGTAAGTGTAATTCCTCCCCATTACAATCCTAGAAGAGATTAGGCAGCTTTATGGGGTGATCACACATCTAGTAGATAATGTCCCTACATTAAACAGGTAACCACTGCCCACTCCTCATCCTTGCACTTCACTGCCCCATGTGTGTGTTAATGCACAAGATCAGAACATTATACATTTTATATATTAGTACAAAAAGAGCATAAAAATCCATCTGAACTAATACCAAGATGCTATTCTTTCAACTGCACTAAGCCTTCTACAGAAGAGTTCACCAGTTACAGCTTACTGCCCATCCCTTGTTTGGAGCAGAAACTTTTAACCCCCAGCCCTCATCACCTTAACAGATGCACCTAACTCATGTGTCCCACCCTGCCTTTATCTTTTCCATACCATCTCCCCCACGCTCCGGGAGGATCCTGCTTTGGGAAGCAGCAGGAAGCAGTTTACCTGGTGTGATCTGGCGGGCACGCTGTTTACCAGACCCTCTGTGTCGGAGGGCAACTTCTGTGGAACCTGCTTAACCGGTGACATCAAGCTCTCAGATGTACTGCAGCTGACGAGGTGGCAGAGCAGAGTTTGCAGGACAATGTTCAAGAGGCACACACACACACAAAAAAAAGAACAAAAACAAAAAACAAGTGATGGCAAGATGAATGTGGCAGATTATGCCAAAGTAAAAATGAACATAATGGATTCTGAAATAAACACATATAATTCTCCATCTCTCCCCAGACATTTCTCTATCCTTCCTCCCAGAGTCTCACTGGTAAGCAACATGAAAGAACAACTATTAACATAGGACAGCAGCTCCTCCAAAAACCCCTGTTCCCTAGATATTCCCATTCAACCCAAACTGTCTAAAACCATGTTTTCTTCACAGAGGCTTCAGACTCAGTTAACAATGGTAAAACAGCAATTATCTTCTAACTTTAAGCTAAACAGTCCCAGGCACTGAGGCAAGTATTACACCAGTGCTACAGTTAGAATGAACACTTGCAGAGCCATCAGCTCTCCACACCACAAAGGTACTTCCTACCAAACTCCATGTTAGTTCCCTTGCTTTCAGTTAGGCTACAATCCCAAAATAATTCTGCCCACTCACAATAGACACTAGTCTCTGGAGTAATTACTTTAAGAGTCACGTGTGACATGTAAGCTATGTGCCCTCATATAGCTACTTGAATATCTAAACAGGCATATCTTGTTTTTCAAACAGTAAAACTGTCTTGAGGTGAGAACCAACACCCCTAAAAGAAGGTTGCCAGTTTTCACTTTCTGTTTGCTTCTTTCCATCTGCTTAAAGCAGGACTGAAAAGCAAAAGCCAGTGACAGAAAGAGAAATGAATACCACAGAGCTAAGTAAAAGAGCAAATGCCCTTAACATCAGTAGCTTCTGGGCAATGCAGTAATGGCTAAATGCTATGTCTACCTCCTTGTACCCAAGCATCCAGACAAGAAAACTAGCCACATCCTTGACAGCAGACACAGGAGTTCCCTTTGCTACCACAACCCTCTGACCACTGGGCATCCTTTCCCCCCAGTCTTTGTAGACAGACAGTGCACAAATCAAGTACGGAAACAAACAAATGAGGACAGTGACATTAAGCAGACTACCTCCTCAAAGGGCAATATTTTTTTATGCTTTGGTAAGTCTAACCATATAAGACTTAGCTCCTCACACATGCAGCAGTAAGAAAAAAAAAATACTGCCCCCAGCCATCAGGGCAAGGGCCTTCTGCTGTCTCAAACAGAGACAAAGCAGCCCTTCTGCTACCAAAATAATGTACCCATGAATTGTTTGCTTTATTCACAAAATTCCTCAGACCTATACTGTCTCAAAGTCATAATTCATGTTTAAGCAACTAATGCACTTAGATCACTGCAAGTTTTCAAACACCCAAGCTGTCTGAGCTGGAGGAACACTTATATGGAATTTACTTTTATTTTGACACAGAAAGGGCTCTGAATTTCCTGTGCTTTAGTCAATGCACTGGCAAGTTCACTGTTGGAAGAGATGGAGGGACACCACCTGGGATAAGCAGCAATCCCACCCCAGTTAGACATGAGACAATGAGACCCAAGCACCCAGTGAAATGCATCATCCCTTTGCCAACAGATTCCAGCACAAATTACAGTGAAATTATGTTAGTAGAGAGCTAGCTGGTTAGTCAGCAAAGGAAGAGGAAATGTGTACACATACACACATAAGTATTAACAGCAACCACCAACTTGATTAGTTACCATAGTGTCTAGTGGGACTGGAAGAGAGGACCCAGCCCTGTTACATTCCCAATCTGGCGTCTATATCAGGATCTCTGTAAGGGGAGGAAGGTAAGCAGGATCCGATCCCAGCACACCAAGGCAGAAAGAAAGAAAAAAAAAAAAAAAAAAAAAAAAACAAAAAAAAAAAAAAAAAACAAAAAACAGAAAACACCAAAGTCAGAGCATGAACAGAGACTGTGGCCATGCAGGGATTCCAGATGCCGCGCAGTGCCCCAGCCCACCTCATTTCAAGGCAGAATGGTTACCTAAGAGTAAGTGCATCTCACCACCACCACCACCACACACTGGGTTAGCGTCATGTAGAAGACAGTCCGTAAGTTTGGAAGAGGTCACAGCACACTCGGTTTCTCTTTACACGTCATGCAGAGCTGGCATGGTCAGTGAAAGCAGTATTTAAACTTCAGAGATTACTTTTGCAAGAGAGTAGTTAAATCTACTACAAGAAATTAGAGTGCATGAACTACTGCTCCAGCCTCAGCACCAGTATGTGTCCCTCAGCAGGAAAAAACACTGGGAAGTAAGGCAAGGAGACCACCTCACGCACGCTGCTGGTGCATGACACTGCAGGCTTCTTTTCAGCTCTTCGGGGAAGGAGACATGCAAAAGGGAAAACCAGGCTTTCCACACATTTGTGAGCACACACAGCCACCTTTGCTGTATTTAGCCTTACCATTGGGCAATAGCCAACTCCCTTTCTCTAAGCTCTCCAACTGGGAAAAGGACAGGGCAAAGTTTAATTTAGAAATCCCCACAAGTTTACTTTTGGAATTATTTTCTTTCATCCCACAGGCAACCCAAAGGACCTGCAGGAAGCAGGCATATGTGTTGGGGAAAGAACAGAAGAAAATTATAAGTTTGGGGTTTGTTTCTAAGACTACATACATAATTTTCATTCTTTCCTATAGAAGCAAATTACCAGCTAACTAGAGAGGAGAAAAAGGAAGGAGCCTCCCCCATCATCACCAAGCTCCACCATCAATGGACTCAAGTCTGCCTTCGTTACTTCTTGTTGCTTTTTCATATGTCCACTCAAAGATCTGTGCTTCACTTCAGAGTTATTCTCCTAACACTACAAACCTTGCAGGGATGGTAACAGTTAACAAAAAACAGACAGTGAATGAGAATGGAAGCGGAGTGGCTACTCCTTCCTTACTTTGAAGTGAGGTGATGAATGAAGTTTTGGCAAGTATACTCCAGGCTCAGGAGCCAGACACTGGTAATTGAAAAATGCAGTCTTAATCTCAATGCAGAGCATTCCTGAAAAGTGCATCCATGGCACTTTTCCTTTGAGGCTTAGGGGTAGAGGGAAGCAGGGCTGGAGGGAAGGGGACCAGACTAGAGCTAGGGGATCTTGGATTAAATGTTCTTAGGGCATATATGCTTGTGGCTGGGGATCAACTCCAACATTTAGTGATTTTCAGGTGCAACTCGTGCTCAGTAGGTCTTTTCAAGCACAGTACAAAGATAATCATTGTAGGCAGACGATCAGTGTTCTACATGGCCACACCCTATCCTTAGCCATGGTTGCCAAGACTTGGCTGAAACAACTCCTACCCCCCTTCTAAGCCCTCCCCCTGATCCTGCTGCTGTTCCTCACATCAGGCACAGGTGAGGAGGGAGATCTCTTACCCAGAGTATCGTTTTTTAGAGTTGTTCTTTCTGATGACAAGACACACGACAATAGAGATGAGCGGTGAGAGACCTGTAACCGTACCGATGGCTATTCCTGCCACCATGGCAATGGGGAACGCAGGCAGGCTGTCTGGGGAGAGAAGGGAGAAAACATTCAACTCTTCTGCATTCCCTGATTAACAGAAGTGCAAACCACAAATGCTCTTTACCTTGGATTCGTTTAGAGCAGAAGGCACTAATGTAATATCCAGAAATTATAACATGCAGCCTAAGTGGTAGTGATAGCAGGCAGCCAGCAGAATACGGTATGAAGAGAGTGCACACCAAGAGCATTCTCAATGTCACCATCCTTCAGAAGAGAGTTTGTATTGAACCAATAATTTCTTCATATCAGATAATACAAGTGACAATGAGGACAACCCTGTCTTGTTTTGTATCTGAGGGGGAAAAAGCAAAAGCTACATTCATCTGGCAATTCCCAACAAGGTCAATAGGAAAAGGCAGGCACATTTGAATGTAGATTTGAATGCAGAGCATTGCTAACCAACTAAGAGTGCTGAAGGCTGGGTGTCCTCTGGGTAGCATGCAACAGACAGCCTAGTTACTACCCATGATCACTCTTACGAGTGTTTATATATGATCCTGGTGCCTCAAAGTAGATCTCTACACATTTTTATAGTCATTCTTTCTCTTCTTAAGTCAAGATCATTGTACAATATTAGAAACATGCTTATAGGAACACAGTATTGCTTTACTCCCATTTTCCCCAATACAATTTCGGGGGAGGGGAGGCGAAGAAAGAGCAGCCAGAAATAAAAGCCAATCAGAGAATAAGTACAAAAGACTTACAAGATAAAGAACACACAAACGACCACTATAGCTTTTTCCAGCAAGAAATGAAGTCCCTCCCCTCCCTCTGCATCATGTTTAACGCATGAAGCATCTTGGACCAGGGAGTTTCTTATAGGATTCCATGCTACACTAGCTACTTGCACCAAACACAAGTGAATCAGCATAAGATCTAACAGGTAAGACATCTTATGTAGAAAATCTTTCTCAGATAACTGCATCTGATCATGACAGAATCGTTGAGGTTGGAAGGGACATCTTAAGATTGTCTAGTCCAACTTCCCTGCTCCGGCAGGGTCAGCTAGCACAGCTTGCTCAGTACTCTGTCCAGTTGGGTTTTGGCTATCTCCAAGGATGGGAGACTCTATAAGATCTTTGGGCAACCTATTCCAGTGTCCAACCACAGTAAAAATGTGTTTTCTTATGTTCAGAAAGGATTTCCCGTATTTCAATGTACGCCCACTAGGCACACTGAAGAACCTGTCTCAGTCTTCTTTAGATCCTATGAATGTACATACATGCCTGGTGAGAGGGCATCCCTGAGCCTTTCTTCTCTTTTGCAGGCTAGACAACCCCAGCTCTCTCAGCTTCTTGTATGAAAGGTGATCCAGTCTGTTTATCATTCGGTTGCCCTTTGCTGGACTCATTCCAGCAAGGACCACAGACCATGCTTATACAAAGCATTCCCAGCAAGTTTGCAGTCTGTAGACCATGCCCATTTTGACATACTTATGTAGAAGGGAGCAGAACAACACAGTATCCTGAAGCAGGGCATCATACTAAGAAAACAGGGCTTACATTTAGTATGTTCATTTTGAGTTCAGTTAACTTTCAGAAGAAGAGCTACCTGATCTCTAGCTGTTTCACTGATCATGCCATCATTTGGCTGAATATCACATCAGCAGCTTTTCTAGCTCTCCAGTGTCAATGCCAGTTCATAAAAACATGGTAATTCAGAGTCTTAGTAAGAAATTAAAGATGAAGACATGAGTGCCACAATATAGAGGAAGACATCCTTTCTTTCCAGAACCTTTTGGTAGCCCAAAGATCCATCTGCTACTAAGGAAGAGATCCTTACAAATGGTAATACTTTTCAGGTACAGAAGACTGAGATTGTGTTTGAGCACCTGTCGAGGTTTTGTGTGGTGGGTTTGTCTGATAGCAGGGAGAGGCTGCAGTGGCGGCCCCTGTAAGTGACTGCTCAGAGTTCCCCCAGCTCCAAGTCTGCTCTGGCGGCAAGGGAGGAGCTACACTGGTGGTTCCTGTGAGGGACTGCTGAGGGTTCACCCCCACCCCCAAGGTTTCAGTAGCCCGGGGGGTGGGAGAGTGGGGGAAGGAGTACCACCAACCTAGCCCCTGTGAGAAACTGCTGAGCCCATCATATATATTTAAGAGAGAGCACGGAACACAGGCGGCTTGGCGCGTCCCCAGGCAGGGCCCGGCCTAGGCAGACCAGCCAGGCTGTCCAGCTGCCTGCCCGGCTTCTCCTGTAAGCCAACCTGTCATAGCCCAAACCTCCTCCATGGCTTGCCCGAGTCAATTTTTTCAGGAGCCGATGAAAGAACCTGCGGCGGAGAGAGAAGCAGGATCTGAGAGAGATAACTCCACAGACACACCAGTCAGTGAAGAGAAAGGAGAGGAAGGAGGTGCCCCAGAACACAGATTCCCCTGCAGCCTGGTGAAGACCCATGCTGATGCCCATTTGTCCCTTGAGCAGTCCATGAGAAGAGGTAAACCCATGCCAGAGCCAAGCCATTGTCAGAGGACTGTGACCCCATGTGGGAAGGACTCACACTGGAGCAGCTTGTGAAGGACTCTCATGTGAGAAGGGACCCCACGCTGGAGCAGGGAAAGACTGTGAGGAGCCCTCCCCTGAGGAGTAAGAAGCGGCAGACTGACTGTTCCCCCCATTCCCTGCCCCCATGCACCACCACGGAGAGGGGAGAAGGTACAGAAACCAGGAACAAAGCCTTTGGGCCTGGAAAGAAGGGAGGGGTGAGGGAGAAGTGCCTTTCTAAGATGCAGTTATCTCTCTCATTATCTTGCTTTGTTTCTGACTGTAAGTAGTTAACAAATTCATTTGGGTTTTTTTTTGTTTTCCCAAGTCCTGTAGGTTTCTTGTCCATGACCATAAGTGGTGAGTGAAACCCTCCCTGTCCTTGCCTTAGCCCAGGATGTTTCAAACAATGGGCTGTCTAGTGGCTTTCTTTTAAACTACAACAGCACTATGCAAAGATAAACAAATTTACTTTGAGGCATATAAGAAGTAGGAGTAGTGCTTTTTCACCTTTCCAAGTGCAGGAATAACTGTCTGCAAAAGCATCAAAACAGACATGCATTTCTATTAGCAGACCACCTGCTGCCTTGTATGCAAGCAAAAAAAACCCCACACACTTTTTCAGAGCGAGAAAGTAAGTGTCAACCCAAACCTATAGTGCAGAGTGTCTGCTGAAAGTGATACTTAAAATTCGGCACCATCTAATCTGATAGTTTTGTCACTTATTTGACTCAGGTGGTCTTTTTCGGTTGGTTGAATTTGAGATAGGACAGCAGTTATGTTCTGTTGACAGAGGTTTTAAGATTGTATTAAAAAATGCAACTGATTGCATGTTAAACTGGAGTCCAGGTTTATTGCCTCTCAGAACACGGTTCAACAGACCATACAAAAGCTCACACAATTTTACGACCACGTAGTTCAGCTGAAGAATGTTTCACCCCAATTTTTCATATATTTTTCAGCATTCCAGTTACATTAATTCCTCATAAGTACTCGCAGAACAGCTGGTGACTTTGTTGTAACAGACAGTCCCAGCTACATAACCAAACACCAGCTCTGAAAGCTAACATTTAAGTTAATAGCTTAACACGAGCCAAAAATCCAGCCTTTTAAAGAACACTTTTCACTAAATATCACTGTGTAATAAATGACCAGAGATAATTTA